CACTCGACTGAATATTCCATTTCCGTTGAGTTGACTACCATCCGGGGCGTATGCTGGCAGTGTTTCCAGAATGTAAACACTACCCAGAGAATAAGTATGGAGTGCATTAAGGTAGCGAGGAAGTTCTTGGTATGATTCCTCCCAATTTCCATATACCTTTTCAATCGCCTTGGTATTTGCTAACCGCGCCTTACGGTAAGACGGAGTGTAGTTAAATACCATAGTGATGTGGGAGATGATGGTTTTCACCTTCAAAGATGGATCGTTGCTGACGAGTGGTAGGATTTCTTGACAAATGAGATCATAATTAAGTTTTCGATGATCCTGTGATTGAGTAGAACTGACACAAGTGTGGGTAGACATGGAACCTATGACCCAACAATCACCTTTTAATCTGTATGATGCAGTGAGATTGAACATACAATCAGGGTGGACACACTTGATCTTGTACCTTTCTGGATTTACACAGTCCACCTTAAAATCGACCGAGTTGAGCATGTGGAATTTTTTGATGGCTCTGATACATTCTTCTCTGTTACGAAATTGGTCTTTCTCTTTTAAGTTTTCATCCGACTGCATATATGGATTGAAAAATAAATCAGAAGACGGTTCATCTCCGCCCATGTTGAAGTTTGTCATGTGTGGAGGTGGTGTGTAGATCTCGTTTGCAGGAATACCAGGTATCCCATCGTCTTCAGAATCATCATTGACCATTTCGTCAAACTCTAACTCGTCATCTTCTTCTTCTTCATCAACTACATCTACTTCTGCTTGTTCGGTCTCTAAAGGATCAACCACTTGTGTCACCTGAGGCTCTCGTAGCATAATGTACAACTCAATAGAGTTGTACCCAGAATAATCATGACTGGAAAACATATTCTGAAGATCCTCGTCATCTTGAACCTCAACCTTATAAAATATTATTTGGTTGTTACCAAAAAAAACTAGATTATGATAAAATATTTGTGTCACCGGGCCTCGTCCAAGTTTAGCCTCCAATCGTTTTTTGAAGTACAAGAAATTGGCTTTCCTGTTTAAACAAAATCAGATGTTGTCTGTGTCTCTAAACAAAAACCCAGAGGTGGGACAAATGTTTGTCTCACCGTTGAAATGTGCACTGATGACATATTGGGGTGAAGAGGCCATTGCGTATGATTGTTTGAAGGTTTGAAGGTTGGAAGGTTTGAAGTTTATGAGTTATTTGTAGGAATTTTTGAATGTTCTAGTGTTTGAGAGATTAAGTGAATCAGTATTTTGATAAATGTAAGACTAAATAGGTCATACTGAATTTGAATTAACTAAGGCTGTAACCTCTAAGGCTCCTCCCATCACGTCCAATAGTGTTACATGCATTCAGAGATGCCTTCTCCAAGGCGGTCACCTAGCCCGCGCCTACTCTGCAACCCATGCCACCTCTTATTCGCCAATGGGGATGGCGACACCTTTCATTTTTGTACTCTTTCGCCAAGTCCAATGGAGCCTCCCTTCATGTCCAATCGTGTTACATGCATGTAGAGATGCCTTCTCCAAGGCTGCCACCTAGCCTGCGCCTACTCTGCACCTACACTGTAACCTCTAAGGCTCCTCCTATCACATCCAATAGTGTTACATGCATTCAGGGATGCCTTCTCCAAGGCTGTCACCTAGCCTACGCCTATGCAACCCATGCCACCTCTTATTTGCCAATGGGGATGGCGACACCTTTCATTTTTGTACTCTTTCGCCAAGTCCAATGGTGCCTCCCTTCATGTCCAATCGTGTTACATGCATGCAGAGATGCCTTACCCAAGCCTGCCATGTAGCCTGCGCCTACACTGCAAGAGTGACACTTATCATGCATGCATGCACCACTTACCACTTCACTTACTCTATGAAAATTTTCCGCCTATAAATACAGAGCATAACATACTTCTCTCGCACCCACAATCATCTCACTCTATGCTACAAACTCTTTCATAATCTCTTACAATTTCAAACTCTTTCATAATCTCAAGCATTTTCAACAATGGCTCTTCTCACAACGGGCGATTCTCACAGAGGCACAAGGGACAACATTGCAACATTTGTAAGTTTCTTTTATAGTTATACATTTTTCATACTTCTGGTAATGCTTTGTTCATCTTACTTACTCTTACACCTTTTACATTATTAACTCAGGATACCAAAAGATTCAGAATCCGGTCTCACAACTACCTTGCTCCCGACCCATTGGTCGTACCATATCTGGAATACGCAGGTTTCGGACACGTTATAAAGATCTCCAACTGCACAATTGATTCAAAGTTCATACTTGCAATGTTGGAAAGGTAGAGACCAGAGACCCATACATTTCACCTATCAATAGGTGAATGTACCGTCACGCTAGAGGACGTGTACATGTTACTGGGTCTCCCTGTCGATGGTAAGGCCGTTAACGGGTCGGTTCAACAACCCAATTCTCTGTGTGAAGAATTGTTGGGCAGGGATATGGTTGAAGGTGGTGGTACGAGAGGTCAGGGTATACTACTAACTGAGCTTAAAAATCATTATGTGACTTTAGAATTAAATGAAAATTTCTCCGAGCTAGCCAAGGTAATAAAAGCTAGAACTTATATAATGATACTATTTGGAACCTTTTTATTTCCCGAAAGTACGGGAAATAGTATAAATTTTATGTATTTAAATTTACTTAGAGACTTCGAAAAAATTAGAAAGTATAGTTGAGGTTCTGCTGTTTTAGCCCACTTATACAGTTCCTTGTGTAAAAATGCAATCAAGGAAAAATGTATATTTTATGGCTGCGCTTTTTTACTTCAAGCCTGGGGTTGGTGGAGGATGGAGTCCCTAAACCCCGTCAACAACAACACATTCTTTTTCCCATACGCAACAAAGTAAGTCATCAAGTTATATCATTTATTATTATTCATCTCTTCACCAAATATATGATAAAAATAAAATATTCATTTCCTTTAGGTATTGCGTGAGGGGTATGAATTACGGCAAGAATCCAAGATTCAATGTCGCACTATACCGCAATCTATTGGATCACCTTGGCCCGGATGATGTACGTCGTACCTTTCAACTTTTCTACTTCTAAAATAGTTTATATATTACGTTTTCATTAACCTGATTTAATTTTATGTGCAGTTTGTCTGGAGACCATATTTGCGTTTGGGCCATGAACCAAACCCCGAGGATGTAGCAATTTGGAGCGCCAAGACTGCAATCATATGGTTCAATGTTGTGGAGATGCACCACAGCGACCGTGTGAAGATGCAGTGTAGAATGCATCAAGAGATACCCAGTGATCCGACTTGTTTGTCCTCGTGGCATCTCAAAAGGGTCGACGCCCAATGGGGTCTTACCAACTGGAAAGACTTTGCTCCAGAATGGTGTAAGATGTGGCAGAGGCGTCACTGACATGTCTTATAATTCCCAGTTTTCCTCAATCATGGTAATATGCGACACACGGATCAGTATTTATCTTGGTACAGATCAGTTAGTAACCCTGAAATTCACGTGTCTCATCCAAGGTATTTGGTTGACCCACGAACACAATAGGCACAACCCTCAATTCCCCAACAACAAACCCAACACACATCAACCTCCCACCAACCCCCCAGACGAAACAGAACCACAAACACCCAACCACAACCGCCACCACAATACAATTACACCCACATGCCCCACAACCAACCACAATCACCACCACAATACAATTACACCCACATGCCCCACAACCAACCACAATCACCACCTCAGTACCAATACCCCCATATGCCTCACACCCAACCTCAATTTCAATCACAATACCAACACACCCGCATAGCCCACACACAATTTCAGTCTTCTGCATATCCCAATTTGGGCCCCTCAACATCCAACCTTAGCCCTGATCCGGGAATGTCGGAAGATTATGAACTAACCGACCGAACTTACCATCAACCACAATATCACCAAACCACCCAACATCCTCAATACCAAACACCCCAAGATCCATTTCCTTTCTACCCCCCGTACTCAGACGACCAATGCTACAGATCAACCATGGAACCCCACCCACCGCCAACACGACCAAACTTTGAGGGTATGGGTAATCGACTGTACCAAAGCGGATCTTCTAAATATGGAGATCTGACTGATTTCATGGATCCGGAACACATTGACTTCGCTGGGCCATCGACCCCGCCACAGCAGGAAACGCGACGAAACCCAACACGAAAAAGGAGAGGACAGGGATGTGGAACCGGGGGTCATTACCTGGTTCCGGAGGACCACTGATTAATCTGTTTTTTTTTTTATGTAATACTTATGTATGTAATCATATTTTGTAAATAAAAAGTCAATTTTGTTGATCCTATAGCGAATACGTAACGCACCGCATTGAAAAAAAAACGCGAAAATTGCCCTAGCAAATGCACTAAGGCGTCATCTCACTTGGCTTAGGGCAAGCCCTAAGAAGCACCTAGGCGCCAAGTGAGATGACGCCTCCCCTTAAAAGGTAGGTGTAGGCGCCAAGTGAGATGGCTCCTCCTTTGAGGAGTCATCTGAAACATGATTATTTGCGTAATTTTTTCCGAAACATGGTTATTTGCAAAAAAAAATTTTAATACATAGTTATTCCAAATTTTTTTTTAAAATTTTAACAATTTTAAAAATCAATACAATTAATATTTTTATGATTCAGTGAGATATTTATGTAATTTAATACAAATTTATAAACAAGTGTGGTTTATTTATAATTAAAAGTGAACTTAGGGGATCCCATAAACATATAAAATCCTAATAAAAGAAATGACAAATACATACAATATTTTTATATCAAATTTTATAAATTACACAAATGAAACCCAAACACTTTCAACATAAATAAATAAATAAAATAAATAAATAAATATGAAGCAGCCTAGCTCTCATTTTACATCCCTAAATTAATAAAATCAAAGATATACATAACATAAACCAATGAATTAGAGAAAATACATGAGATAATGTTGTATTATACTATATAGTAGGAATTATTATTTGCGAGGTTTTGTAATAGTATTATTAGCACTAGTGAGAGTTCCACTTCCTCCTTTGGTAATATTTTGAACAAGAACTTCACCCAAATTTTCACCAAGACCTTCAACAAACCCTCCAATAAACTCAATCACAACTTGAGAAGCAACTTTAGCTGCAGCAGAAAGAACACTAGGTTTTTCAGGAACCCTAATGCCATTAGCTTGAAGACCATTCACTTTACTCTTGGCACAAAATGCATGAAGATTGTAGTTACACACCGTGCACCGATACACTTTACCCGATCGTCGTTTCTTGCACTCGTTGCAAACGATCGAGTTGAAATGATCGGTGTTTGTCGCGGTGGTGGAAGTGGTGGTGGATGAAGGTGTGAGTTTGAGAGTGTGGGGATGATTTGGGAAGTCAATTTCTGTGTTGAGCATGGCACAACATGGATGCATTTGGAAAGCACATGCTGTGCATAGGAATGTATAGCCTTTTGTTGGTTTGCCACAAACGTCGCATTTTGATTTTGTCATTCCACTTTTCACTGAAATTTTATATTAATAACAAATTCATGAAAATATATAATGTAAAAAGTATATTTTTACACAGGCAAGATCAAACTCAAAACAAAATATTTAATCGATAAAATACAATCGGTTTAGTTCGGTCTATTTTTGACGATGATTTTTCTAACACATGTCATATAAGTGTTAGTCATTGTGACAAAGTATTTGTGTTTTATAGAACGCGTCTCTTAGGTTAACGAATATAATTTTTTAGATTAATTTTGTCATTTAAAAAGGATAGTGGTGCGGCTTGTATGCGGTTTTATATATATATGGATAAAATTTGTTTATTTATGATTATGCTTATTGGTTTTGACTTGGATTCAAGAATTAATTGGTATAATTTAGAGGGAGAGAGGGTTATCACCTGGTTTGGAATGGAACAAAATAGCATGTTGAGAATGGAAAGGATGAGCTTGAAGAGCAGGAGGAGCCAAAGCACAAAACTCATGAAGTTGATAATCACATTGTTGACAAACAAATCTCTTTCCAGAGCCATATTCTTTACAGCCTACACAAATGAAGAGATCAGGAAGGTCCACCATGGAGAGAGGATGCTGTGGATGACTAAAATGAATTATTTCTTCTCCAAATATGAGTTGTGGAGAGGTAGGAAATTCAACTCGAGGAGGTGATTTTTTTGTGACTATAGATGTTACTTTGGAATGATATTGATCATCATTTGGAGCTGTTATTTGGTATTCTTTTGTTGCTGATTTTTGAAGTAGGAAAGTGTTTGTTTTCTTCTCTACTTGTTTTTGCTTCCTCATCATCATTATTATTATAATCACTTATTTGAACTCTATTTCTTTGGTGAATGTAGCTAATGGCTACACATTGTGGAGAATATATAATGGCATCAAAAAGTTGCATACACTATTTTTTCTCTTCATTTTTTAATTACACACTGTGAAATTAGGGGAGAAAATATGCTATTTGTATTAAGGCATCTTGCATGTGCATGCGACACAAAGGATATAAACTTTTTCGGAATTCATTTCTTTACAAGTCATTGTTTTAGAGCATATACTCTTAACTTATTCGAAAAATATATTTAATTGTGATTTAATTATGATAAGTGTTTTATAAAATTTTATTTAACTACGGGATTGTGTGAATAATTTATCTTATAAGCTATCTTAAATAATTTAATCGCAATAAGAGTTGTGAAGTAGATTTTTTCTCATAATAACTTCTCACTTTTATTAATAATTTTTAAAAAAAATGTTTTTTTTTATAAATATTATTCGACTCATATTATGAAAACATAGTAATTTTGGATTTGAGTTTGTATTTTTGGAGGAAAATAAATATAAATATTTTTTAGTGTTTCTTAAACTTTAAAATCTTGCGCCATGGATTGAAACCCCCTTCTCTCATCTTAAAAATGTGTGTAAAGAAAAAACTAGTGATAAGAATTATTCTTTTCTTCATGATGCTTCTTGTTTCAGCAAACTTGATGTTCCCTCAAACTTTCTTTTTTCTCTTGTCTTGTGGACCCGTCTAACTAATCCTTATGAGTTATCAACTAATCTGTCACATGATTTGATTTTACTTACAAATATAAATTGCTACCTTAATCCAGTCAAATAAAAATGGTATCTTAATAGAAAAACTAACTTATGGATAATATATCATCTGTTTATTTTCCCCATCTTTTCCACTGATTTTTTTAATCAACTTTTATCTATTTTCAATCACTCAAAAAATTTAGAAAACGAGATACCACAAATTTTTTTTTTTTTAAATAACTATTTAAAAAAAAAATTAAATAATCTTATTTTCAAAAAATTTATCAAAATAACCACTTTATAAATAATAAAAAATTGCCATACAGAGAAGGCGCAACTATGTGTGGCGCATGTATGGAAAATAGAGAGGAGACGCTACACTGCTTGGTTTGTCCTCTTATGTAATGCCATACAGTGTGGCGCATGCACGCAAAGTTAAAGAGGAGACGCCACCTTGAGTGGCTTGATAGTTGTATTTATTAATTTTTTTTTAAAAATAAAATAAACGTAATTAAAAATATTTTATATTAATATTTTAAATTACATAATGTATAGATACATATTTTTTCGGACGTCCCCTCAATCTAAGCGGGTCCCAGTATGACATAAACGGCCCCGCCTTTGTCTCACCCGTCTCTATTGAATTCTCTGAGGTGTTTGGGGTCTGTTTTGACTCGCTTGATGATGAGGTGCTTGATGTGATGGTCCTGGTCCATCAGGATCATACATCTCATCGATCATTTCGCTCCATTGTAACGTGCTTCTAAAGAGACTGGTGCCCATGTAGTTGAAGTTTGGTGTTGTTGGTTGGGATATGTGTGGGTGGGATGGTTGATAATATTGGGATGTTGAATCATTTTGGAAACGAAGCAACGATTCTTGTGGTGTATGAAATATGTATGATGCTTGGGTACTTCGATGGTGTGATGTTTGACTGTATGTAGGTTGAGTGATATGGTAGGAATGCGAGGTATCATATGTGTCTTAGGTGTTGTGGTAGGATGTGGAGGGTGCATATTGTTGGTGGTGGATCAGGTCATGCTCTTGGTATCGTGTTATGTGTGTGGCATGAATTGATGACGGGTTTGGTTGGATGTGGTGGTGTATGGTTGTTGGGTTTGAGTGGGTTGCCATTGTTGTTGAGTTTGGTATTGATAAGGGGTTGAATGTTGGGGTTGTTGTTGGGCGTGTGATGCAGCTCTTTGGCGTGGATCAATAAAATATGTCTCATGAGACAGAAACAAATTTGTTGAAACTGATGTGTACCATGTCAAATATTGGAGAGTTGATTTTAAGTCATCTTGCGAGATTGGCTCCCTTAGGACGAATTCACGTCGATGCCTCCATTGACGATATTGATTTCTAGCGAAGTCTCTCAAATCATTAAATCCCCATTGGTCATCAACTCTGAATATATGTCATTGTCCCAAACATGCAGGGGGGTCTAGGATACCCTGTTGCATGCCTGTTCTTGCAGTATATAGCGACAAGCAAAAAATAAAGTATTATTTTTACCGGGTGATATTTAGGTTATATCGTATCGTGTCCACGGAGATTGGTCATTGAATTTTCCATCGACAAATCATTCGTTAATGAGTTTGAATTGAATGGTATAGAAAAATATCAACAGAAAATAAATGTAAACAAAAGTAAAAATTAAGGAAGAACTTATCAAGTCTGCATATAATCTTACTCCTCACAGACTTAAATCTATCGACCAGTTACACTCCACCTACAATACTCATCAATGTCATCTAGAATCACTCACTCTCTAAGTTATTTCTAACCCAAAGTATTGAGAACTACTATAGCATCTCGACGACGATCTCTCAGTCAACCTCAACAATACAGCAGACATCCATATTAGAATTTTTTTTTGGAATAACCAGGTATTAACAAAAATCGCAAATAACCATGTTTCAGAAAAAAATTACTCAAATAACCATGTTTCAGAAAACTCCCCAAGGGAGGAGCCATCTCACTTGGCGCCTCCACTCACATTCTTGCCCTAGGCGCCATCTCACTTGGTGCCTCCTCTCTCTTTTAGCCAAGTGAGATGGCGCATGCACTTTAAAAGTGAGAGGAGGCACCATCTCACTTGGCTCTTAGGGTAAAATGTTGTTTTTATAAATAATTCGTCCGTTTCTCCGTTATTCCTCACACTTTCTCGCACTGCTCTCTTAATTTTTTACTCTGTTATTTGCGTCATGACATCGCCCATGATTTTTACCAGAGATGGTTACGTTATTTTCTACGCCACAAAACCTTCGATGAAAATGAAATTCTGGCACATTCACTTCATGGAGCGTCTGAAGAGGGAGTTGATGCGATGGCTAGAGGGAGACATCGTGGAGGGGGAACAAATTAGAAGGATCCAACAAAGACGAACAACAACCTCACTTGCGACAGGAAGACCTAATTTTTGGTTGGAGGAAGTCAAAACAGACAGCGACGTAATGTTGATGACGCATGGGTCAGATGAAATTGTTTTAACGGTTGTAATATTGTAGACGGTTTATCGTGTTTTTTTCTTGTTCGCGCAATGTTTATTGTAACAAATACTGTTAACGAAAAACCCTAATGTTTACAACATAATAAAGGAAATATTTTTTGTAATACAATTTTTATATGGTTGAGGCAGTAGCCCGATTCGCACAATTTTTGCGATTGTATCCGACCTGACGACGTAAACCACACTTTATTTCCAGCTTGTCAAGGGATTCCATTTCGGTTGTGATGCACTTACTTTTGGGATGACCCTTTTTATTCCTTCGCATTTGGTCATTGTGCCATATTATTTCGCCGTCGTATGTAAGCCAATAATCTGGTTTTGCTACCAAAGGGAAGTTATTGTTGTAAACATTGAGCAACGTTTCAGATTTTTAAATGGGAGACAGAAGTTGTAGCGCGTCTTGATGAGTATAGGCACACGCGGCAATGACATGAGAGCAAGGCATACAAAAGACTTGAAACTTGCCACAATCGCACCAACGAGAAGGTAGTACAACCCTATATTCTTGTCTTGGCAGACCCTCGTTGTGGTTGATTGTCTCTTTGACAATGAAGTTGTGGTTGTGTCGGTCAAACCGTATAACCATATGGGTGTTGGCTTTGGCACTTTCTGCCTTAATATACTTCATGCAGCTTTCACTCCATACTTGTCCAGATTGCAACACAACATTCCACATTTCACCTCTTTTGGAAAACAATGAAGCCATCCTAAAATATGTTAATTTAACCAAACAATGACCGGGAGGTTTCGTATGCCTTTGAATACCCCATTCATCAATTCAATTAGATTTGTTGTCATATGGCCCCATCTTTGTCCATTGTCGTATGACCTAGTCCATTTTTCTACCGTAATATTCTCGATCAACCTACCGGCTTCTGGATTTGACAAACGGATCTCGTTGCAATAATATTTGAACGTAGGTTGTGTCAATGCATATCTCGCATTCATAACCGCTTTCCTAAGTGTTTTGTCTTTGATCTCCCTCGTGAAATTTTGGACGATATGTCTAACGCAATAGACATGCGTAGAAGGAGGGTCATGCCAACCGTTTACGGGATTATTGTATGCACTTTAAATGGATGCATGTCTATCAAAGATCAAACAGAGATCTGGTTGAGGAGCCACGTGTGTTCACAGATTTTTGAGAAAAAAGCTCCAAGCACCACCAGTCTCCCCCTCGACTAGGGCAAAGGCAATTGGGAAAATGTTGTTGTTGCCATCTTGTGCAACTGTCATCAATAGCGTGCCTTTGTATTTCCCATACAACCAAGTCCCATCAATTTGTATAATTGGTTTGCATGATGCAAACCCTGTGATGCAAGGTTGAAAAGCCCAAAACACTCGACTGAATATTCCATTTCTTTTGAGTTGACTACCATCTGAGGCGTATGTTGGCACTGTTTCTAGAATGTAAACAGTACCCGGAGAATAAGTCTGGAGTGCATTCAGGTAGCGAGTAAGTTCTTGGTATGACTCCTCCCAATTTCCATATACCTTTTCAATCGCCTTGGTCTTTGCTAACCACGCCTTTCGGTAAGACAAAGTATAGTTAAATAAGATAGTGATGTGGGAGATTGTGGTTTTCACCTTCAATGATGGATCATTGCTGACGAGTGGTAGGATTTCTTGACAAATGAGATTATAATTAAGTTTTCAATGATCCTGTGATTGAGTAGAACTGACACAAGTGTGGGTGGACATGGAACCTATGACCCAACAATCACCTCTTAATCTGTATGATGTAGTGAGCTTG